CTTTGGGATCTGCTCGAACATGGAATGCAAATCATTTTGATTTTTAACATCTAAGCGGAAAACAAAAGGTATAGCACAACAGGACACCAAGGTAGAAAGCAGAGATTGAACAAGTAAGTTGCTTCCCATCTACTCATCTCGCAAGTTGACTTCCATGTTTTCTGGCAATCCCAGCACAGAAAGATGAGCATGGGTTCATTTCTCATTTTTATCCTTCAATTACTTCCTCAAATGATAATACAATAACAACTTTGCTATGGATGTGTATATATGTTATCTGTGTCTAAGGAATGAATTGGGCCAAATAATTACAGAACTAAAAGCCGAGAGAAGAAAAGAAATGAAGAAAATTGAAATGATGTTCCATGAATTCATAAAGAAAATTCGAAAAACTGGCTCTTGCTAATAAAGACCGCTATTTTGCAACTAGTATTTAAGTTATCACTTGAGTATCATTTTACTTTTCTCCTAATTCATGCATGCACAATCTGCTGGTCCACCTCCGCATCAATGATCATCACTGAACTGTGATGATGCACCATGTACCACCGTCCATCATGGAGCTCAAATACATTAGTTACGTTAAATGGCCCAGTGTCCATCTCAACAACGTACATTTTCATGGTAACCCAAGCCATGTCAGTCAGCACACGAGCCCTTACATCACGAACCTGCAAGTCCAATACTTGCTCCCAATTAAATGCAAACTGCCAACTCTGTATTACAGCATTATACCTGTATGGGTCAAGCACGTCTCAGCTCTAAGCTCTGTTCAATCAAACATTAAAGGCTAACAAGTTTTGAAAACTGCATAAAATAAGTCACCAATACAATAAATAACCTGACTATTTTAATTCTCATTTTTACTTTATTTGATCCAATTGCCATTTCATCAACTTGGAATCAATGCTAGGTAATTAAAGAATACAAAATCCTATGATTATCTCTCCTACCATTTCATTAATTGACAAGTGTAAAACTGCATCCAAATATACTTGTACTAGAGGTGACTCGCTCATACTATCTAAGAAATCATCTCCTGAGTGTCGATCACTTCTTTCCAATTAGGCAATTACCATGACTTCAAAAGTTACAAAGGCAAATTAATTTTGGGATATAATAGAGTTCTCATTCCTAACATCTAGTTCCTTATTTTAAAATCCGGTTTCCTATATTCCTTATCAAATAGGATGAGAGAACCTCACCCCTCATCTGCTTTTCCAATGTATGCGAGCACATCTCTAACATTACTAGTTTGTTCATATTTACTCTACCAAGCCACATATTCCCCCATCTACCAAATTCCAAACCAATTCCTGTAGCCCAAGCTAAGCAGATTGATTACTCTGTCAAATAATGAAAACATATATCAAAATTCATAACCAAGTCAAATCAATATATGCATCTTAAAAATGCAAGAAAAAAAATTTATATCATAATAGAACAAATCACCACAGTATTTCTATTCAGCAATAATTCATCACTACCATATAAATTGGTTACAGGACAACTATCATCCTATATAAATCCTCCTAGGCTCCCCAAATGCATTAACCAGGATAAATGTCTTTAAAGAAAAGTTCCTATAAGTGAAACGTGTGAATCCTCTGTAAATCAAAAACAACTATTAGGAAGTCCCCCATGCCTAGGGATTTCCAATTAACAGCAGGACATGGGAAAAAAGATCACAGGAGGATGCCACTAGAGAAACATTCAATAACTCATAAATACAGTAAGTACTGCAAACTGCAGGAACGTTATAAACCTTTTCCATGGCAATCACTCGAAAACATAAAAATAGTCTTATTAGCTGAAGTCAAGATAAATGATCATACCCTGAAAAATTTTCCCCAGATGCATGGGTGCACTTCACATAATCCGAGTTAAGCCATAATTGACTCATTGCTTGAACAGACCTTTCTCTAATGATGTTAAAGAATTCTGTATTGACATTCACAATGGCTCTTGTAACTGCATAGTAAGCCTTCCACCCAATAACAGGAGTCACACTACCTTGTTCCAATGTAAAATCCTAACACAGCAAACACAAAAGGTAAAAAAAATCAATACACACAATAGAAGGAAAATCCCCAAGCAAAAAAATCTAAAAAGCAACTACTACAAAAAAAAAAGAGAAAAAGATCTACACTTTGAATCCACATTTGCAACCTGGTAAATCCACATTGATAAGGAAAAATTTAAATCAAGGATACCCAAAAAAATAGAAGAGAAAATAGGAATGGCAAAGAAGAACTTCCAGAATTTTAGCGGAGAAAATCAAGAAATCCTTAAGAGGAAATCAAAATGCAAGGAAAAAATGAAGACGATATTCCTAAATAATGATAGGGGGGTGATCTCATAACAAATAAAATTTAAACCTTACAGCAATAATTTGAGATTTGAATTATTTCATGGAATAACACAATATATGTTGAGCTAGTAACGGTACCATGTTTTCCCTCCCTAAAAAGAATGTTCCAAATGACCTTCCTTGGGCCTCCCAATTCAAAAGTTTCTCTACAGCTGTAGCTCCTATGCTGCCTTATTATCCAGGTTAGGGGATTTTAATCTATAGTTCTTCAACATCTACAAGTTCTAAGAAAGAGAACTAAACTATAACACTCTTTATTCCCCAAAACGCATGTTATGCAACAAAATGATCTTCTCACTTACATAAAATCCAACAAAAAATATAGTGTCATACAGCACTTCAATCAAGAAAAACACCTATTTTACAACGCATATTAGAAAATTCTGAAACTAGAACCCTACATTACTACTTGTTAATGCCAATCAGATTTACATCAATTCCCTATTTCTCCAAATTTCACACACTATCCCCACAATTAGCCAAATCAGCAACAATTTCACAATAACCAAAACACCAAATTTTACTCTAAAATAAACCCACAATCACAATCACAGCCGCTCCCAAAAATTTAAAAACAAAAAAATTTAACACCAAAAAGCAGCGTATTCCACGGCACAACAATAAATGCACTTAAAATCTATAATCAATAATAAAATTAGCCGAACAATCTAAAAATTAACAAAAACGAAAACCTTATGATACAGCGCCTTCCACGCATTATCATCATTAGCAGCTTTACGCATCAACGAATTAGTCATCGACAACCTACACAAACTTGGATAATCCAAATAACTAAGCGCGTGCGTTGTAATCTCCGGCACTAACTGCTCCATCATCGAAGCTCCGGTCTGCTTATCCACCACCATAGCCTCCGCCGCACCAACACCGTTCACGTACTTCTCCACCGTAACAGAATCCTTACTATTATCACTTCCAATCTCACCGATACAAGAACAGCAACACCTGCAGGTTCTCGTCTTGGATGTTGATGCTGCTGACGTGGAGGAACGGACGGTGAGGTTCGACTTGGGAGATTTTGATCGGAGAGTGAGGAGAGCAATTGAGAGAGAGAGGAGGGTAAGAGATGAGGCTATGAGGAAAGATTCAGAGAGAGTGAAATTGAAGGCAGTAATCTCCATTTAAAAGACATGAAAGCGAGTGAGATTTCACAAATGAAGAACATGAAACCGTATTTGGGAAAAATCAGTGCCGTTTTATTTTTTCATGGAAACCCTAGAAGAAACGGAGTCGTCGAACTCTTTTGTTGCAGAGTAGAGAGTGAGGGAGGGAGGGAGGTCGTTGTGAGTCGCGACTCGTGTGAGTCAACTGACTGGGAGAAACTCGATCGCGTGGGAGTGGGTGCGTTACTAATGGTATACGGGTAATTAATAATATATTCAAATGATATTACAGTCGATTTCTTGTGCTAAATAAAATAACTAATATATTTTCTATTTTGTAGAAATTATGATTTTTGAGACAGTAAATAACTGTAGTTTATTTTTTAAAATTTATTTTTCATATTAAAATATTAAAATAATTCCAAAACACAACGAAAACGACGGTTCGACTATTCAACTATAACGCAAAACACCCCTTAGTATTACAAGAAAAAAAGTGTTGGATTGTTTTTTGTTACTAAAAACATAAAACATTTAGGGTGAAAAACAACTTCCACTATTCAAATGAAAAGCAGCTCCCCCCCCCCCCCCCAAATCTAGCCATAAGACTCTCTTTTTTTTTTTTTTTAATATTTTCATAATAAGTTTATTAGGTTTTGTATTTTATTATTTGTGTTCTTTATTTTGATACGAAGCTTTCATGATGCTTAGAAAAAATCTTAATGCTCGGTTAATATTCAATTAGGTATAATAAAATTCAATGTTATAAATTTAAAACAATTGAAGCTTTTAAAATTAAATTTTAACTTGAAATAAAAATTTGATTTTTTTTTCAAATCATAAACTATATTAAACATATAAGAAAAAAATAATTAATACGTGTAACGTGTATTAACAAGATAAATAAATTATAATACTGTGTTATAGCCACCAAACTCTAAAAATAACTTTTAATACGAAAAAAACCTTTTATTGTAATAAAACAAAATTTTATTTTATTGATTCAAACTAAATAAAATTTTAAAGATTTAATTTCAAATTAAAATAAATTTTCTATTTTTTCTCTTTGAAATAGCATTTTATTTCAGCTTTTCAATTTAATATTTGATTGTAATCAAGATATTTATTATAATTTATTTACATATATAATTATTAAATATATGCATTAATAATGCCCACACTTTTTTTTTCTTGCATTGAAAAAAGAACATTACTATATCCCACAGCATGGGGCGTAGAATCAAACTAGCGTTATTTAATGACAGAGAGAGATATACCACGATGGCATGAAGTCACTACACCTCCCGTGACCGAGTCCATTCGTGCTAAAAACATCGTGAAGCACACCATCACTGTTTTAAGAAAAAAATACGAGTCTTTTTTTTTTTTTTGGCCGAGACTACATCCTTTGTCTCTATTCTTGATATTACGCATGACATTTTGAAGAAATCAAAGAAACATGTCACATTATTCACTACCTTAACTTCATTCAAGATTAAAGAAACAAGTAAAGATAATAACAGCATGCTTTACATTGATGTAAAAGCTATAGTTACGAAGAGGCAAAAGCCAAATATCAACGAAGGATCTGATTTTCTAGAGCTACAAAAGTGAAGACAACGTACACAGCAAGATAATGAATATTGTTATGGTTCTGTTGATATCACAACCCCGAAGCATTACATTAGCTGACTCTGATGCTCCAGGAAAAAAATTCGAAGCTCTTACCTACCGGTTCTCAAGCTACGAAGAAGGGACTAGCTGGAGAGTAGTGTAACGAATATTATGATAGTGCTGCTAACTAGTATCATTATCCAACCTCTTCTAGTCCGGCATGCCTTCCCCAAATATGATGCGGCTGCTAAGAATTTTGAAACTTTTGCAGAAACCAGCATGGCAGTTGAAAAGCACACAAAAACAATACTCCTGGCTAGCACTGCGAGTTCTTTACTTTCCAGATTTGCTTGATCGTTTGCAACCTTTTCAACGTCCAATCTGTGAAGGAAAGAGAGGGGGTGAAACAAATGGGAAAGCTAGTCAGCCAGCAAAGCGAAAGCACACGTGAATAAATGGTAAAAATTTATAAAACATGAGCTAAAAGCGACATAATACTAAAAGTAGAGGATTGGCAAACTATTGTAGATTATCAGCTAGATGGTCAAAGTACAAAGGATTATATAAACAGGGAACAGCATAGCATGTAAAAGAAAATGCATGATGTGTTTTTCCCTTTGGAAAATGGATTAGGTAAGACAACTTGAATCAATCAGAGATAGCAGACATTCAGGAGATATAATAACCAAAATATTTGAAAAGATGTTCATGAATTTTGACTATAAGATCGATGTTTCCCACCTTAGCCTTGTATTTTCTCTAATCATTGCATCCATACTAGATGAAACACCAGCTTTCCATGATTCGAACTCCATGAGCACTTTATCCTGAAAATGAGAAACAAAACGAGGTTTAGGCAATCGCAGAAATTCCTTCTCTTTGAAAATTTTGGAAGTTGAGCAGTACCGTGTTCTCCTTCCATTCCATGAGATCTCTAATTTCTATTCTGCTCTTCTCCACAAGCAATGAAATCCTGAATAGCTCTTGATCAAGCTTTGGCAGAATATCTCCTTTTCTCTGATTCATTTCTTTGATATACTCCTCGAGCATAGTTAAACTTAGTTCAAGCGACTTCAGCTTCTGCATCAAGATCTTTAGAACAGTGTCACCTGGTTTTCTGCTAATTAAAAGCTGTCTAACTCCAGTTACAGGATTAGCAATCACGTTTATACTCTCAGGATTCTTCTTCACACTGGGACTGGATTGTTGAATACCATGTATGTTCTCTGTCTCCATGCCAGCATTATCACTCGATTCACTCCCGTTGTGAACTTTCCCACTATCTTCCTTGTCAGCCAGACTTGATTCTGGCTTTGAAGGTGGGGCTGCAGTTGAATTAGGCTCTGGCAATTCATTGGGAAGAGGTTCTTCGGATGGCACAAAGAAATCTTCAAGCATCTGCTCAATTGCATCTACTCCATATACCTCAACAACACTCAACGTGCAGTAAAATTCTGACCCATAATGACTTAGTAAATTCAACTTCAAATACCTCACCCATTTGGGTTCAGGCAGCTTAAAATCTTGAATGTGCTTCACATTTGCAGCCACAAAATTTCCCAACTGTGTCCAAGTTCTAGTTGGATAGGTCAAACTTCCTGACAGTTCAAAATCCTTGAAATTGGAGGAATAATGTTCGAAATTTGCTATTTTAACGACATCAACCAGTGTCTCCTCTGAAAGCTCAATCACAACAAACTTCTCTCTCGTGAGACAAGGGTTTCTCAGGTACTTATCATGATCCTTCCCCAGTATGTTACATGCTCCTTTAGCCTCCTTATTGTACACAAGCACCTTTGCACCCTTAGTCACAGAGGCATAGTTGTACTCTTTTCCATCAGGCTCAAGCCGGTGGGTGATGTTAGCAAGCTGCTTGGGCAGCACTTTGCCTTTTTCTTGTCTTGTTAAGTTCCGGAACTCGTCAAAGTTGAGATAAGTCAAATGCTGAAGTCTTCCACTAGGTAGTTCTTTTGGTTTAACTGCCTTCAGTTCTTCTGGATTCTTCATTATTAACCCTGAAGAACCATACCCTAAAGTACTCAAAAGTACTTCTTCTAATCTATTTGTCTCTGGGAGTGGGCACCTCTGATTTCTCGAGGCAGTATGAACTGTAGCATTGTTATTGCTGTTAGATAAATTGGCCCCTAGCAGAATTCCATTTGTACAATTATTGCTTCTATTGGCATCACGTGAATATGTATCACCGCAAAGAGTATCTTTGAGATCACTGGAACAAGGTATGCTACTGTCATCAAGAGTCAAATTCCCTGAAAACGCATAATCAATATCAATTGTATATCATGCATAAAACAAATGGCCAATTAGCACCCCTATCGAGAAAAACAAATCTTCGAAGGAACAGACCGCAAAGATAAAAGTGCTAGAACTTAAGTTGACCTTCCTGCACAATTATGTGGTCAATTAAGCAAGTCGTGATGAGCAGGTTCATTATCATAGAAACTAAACAGCAGAAACTCAAAGGCCTCATCTTTTCCATCAATTTTCTAGGCAATTAATATGTGTATAAAAAGACAAATAAAATGGATTTGCTAGAAATATAACACAAAATAATGGGTTGTAAGTTGTAACAAAAAGAAAGAAAGAAAAATGGAGCATGAAAAACTTCCAAAAACAAAAAAGATCAGCCCTGAAAATAAATATCACCTTGATTTCCAAGACCAATGCTAAGTCTAGCACAGAACAAGAAGAGAAGATAACAAAGTAGGAAAAGCAAAGAGAAGCGCAGCTCATACAAACTTCTCCTTCTTGAATGGCCGTTTATGATTTTGTTGTTTTGACAAACAATGGCGTTTGAGACTGAGAACCCTTGTCGAGTTTTTTTCATGACTCTTCGATGTCCTCTCGTCTCCTCTCCTTAGAGGTGGGGGATGGTAGTGGTTTCCGACTCTGCTTTAGACTGTCACATGAATGAATCTTTGGAGTTAATACAAGAAGTCTTCAATCTTACGGGAACCAACCACTTGCCGCTATGCTGCCATTTAAAAGGCCGCCTAATTTGGGGTCTTTTTTGTTTACCAGACTTGTCCTTAACGAAAATTTTGTTAATTGTTAACGGCCACTTCCAAGGGCAAACTTGGAAGATCATTTCACGTGTGGGGTATGAAGGTGTGGGGGTCTGAGAGAGAGAGAGAGAGAGAGTCTCTTGTGGATGTCCGCCTTGCATGAGCTAATTGGCGTACCAGTAGGGATGACGACAGGTTTGAATGTTTTTTTTAGTGTATTTGCACACCTACATCCATCATTAGACATGTGGATATCCAACCAACCCGACTTAATTTTATTTTTATTTTTAAAAAATTAAATCACTTAATATTAAATCTTAGAAAATTAAAACATAAAAAATAATATATCTCAAATAAGATTATAAAACAAATTCCAAAACATTCCACACAAAATATATATAATCGATAACCCTCAACCGATTTTCAGATTGTTTGAAATTATATTTTAAATGTTGTTCTATTAAAAATTAAATTTTATTATTTGAATATAATGATATTAAAAATAATTTTAAAAAATAAAAATATATTATTTTAATATATTTTTAAATAAAAAATATTTTAAAAAATAATTAATAACACATTTCTAAACACCAAGTTTAAGTTTATAGAGTATTATCAAATGTGAGTTTTTATCATGTCTACTTTAACATCCCCAGGTAAAGACCTAATCCGATGGGTCAGTGAAATTACCGGCCGGCCCTCCCCACAACGAATTATAGGATTGCTTAGTTAGTGAATTCAAGCTTAAATAATTCTTGGATAGATTTGGTAGGATTTTACTTTGATCAATCTCCATGTCAGTTTTTCCTTTGCCTCTACAGGAGCCTTTCTTTCATCAATATACGTAGTGATGAAACTAGTGAAATGCAAAATCATTATAAACATCTTCCATTACTAGACTAGACGGCAAGATTTCATACTCTGTCTCACCCATGTTCTCATACAGCGGTCAACTGCCGGTGGTCATGGGGGGTTTTTCGTTCCATTGTTGTCGTTGGAAGGGCATGATCTAATTCATTCTCATCTTCTAATTTGACGGAAAGGGTTCCTGGGTTTTCCTCCACCAGAAACCGCGTTTGCGGAGGGTAATTGTTCAAAATATATTCCATTTCCTCTCCACTGATTTCCTTCTGATTAAAAAGAACCTGCGGTGCAAAGTACAGAAAAATTATTATTAGTCAGTTTCTTTGCAGCCTGCCATACCATACAGAACAACGAGCGAGCAACATTGTGTAATCATGAAAAAAAGAACATATCTGTAGTTTCACAAAATTTTGATATTTAATCTTATTCTTCAGTTCACGTACGTGATGAAGTTGAGACCAGATTCAAATCTCTGCAAACTTCAATTTAATGCCAACCCAAGGGGTTTTGAAAAGGAAAACCCTTCAGAATCTTTACATACCTTAATATGTTGTCCGATTGGAATTAGCCCAAGTACGGCCATGTCCACAATTACTTGTGGAACAATCCGAAAACCGTTTGTGAGGAGCTTAAGAATTAGAGGTTGAGAAATGGATGAGCATAGAGAACTTCGTGTTCAGTGCAACTGCAGTAGTATGTAAAACAGCCAATTTGAAGTTAAAATCTTGCCAGCTCCATTGCCAATGCATTAGTATGTCACAACAGGAACAAACGTTGAATGGAACCCATGCTCATTTTCTGTTTTCATTAAAAGAGATGAAATTATTATTAATGTTTCGAAAATGGAGGTAAACTGGAAAGATGGACCAAATTATTATTAAAGATGGATATTAAAAGGAATTGATACCCATTAGGCCATTATTGAATTGAATTGCTACAGCAAGAGCTATCAACATGCAAAGTTTCCGAGTAATGCCACATCTATACTACAGTGTATTGAGATTCATTCCGCAATCCCAGCACTTCATCTACATGAATGGTACAGATCATTCTTGTCAGCGTTTCATCTAATTCATCAATGTTACAACTTGTTCTAATTGATTATAATAAGAACCTATAATGGTCTCGAGAAAAGGAAAAGGAGTGCATGTTCTTTGAGCTTATAAGGGTATTGCTTTCAGAAACCTCCTGCAGCGTTAGGGATGTTCTGATGTGGCCTTCCTTCCAGGGCCTTAGCTTGGTTTTTTACTGTATCCAATGCACAAACCGAAAAAAAGAGAGAGCAAAGAACCTGTTATAGCTTAATAGCTTTCCTTTCTCCTTTCAATTTCATGACAGGCACAACTTCAAAATTTGAACAAACTTGAGCATCAAGCCATCAAATAACTACTCGGAGCCAATGAACATGTTTTAACCTAAAAAAATTTGGATAAAGCATGGATTAGGCTACGAACATGTTTGACGTTGTAGTTATAATTATTTTTTAAATTTTTTCTTGTTTGAAAATATATTAAAATATTTTTTTTTTATTTATAAAATTTATTTTTGATATTAATAATTAAAATATTATAAAAACATTAAAAATAATATTTTAAATAAAAATAATATTTTTTAAAAAATAATATTTCTGTCGTAAAAACAAACATGTTATATGTAAAATTCAGTACCCATCTTTGGAGATCTGAGAGATTTTTGTTTTATTTAACCCTATTTTAGTTTAAAAGCGTTATTTAAATTTCAGATGATATAGACGTTGCTATTTAATGGGAAAAAGGACAACAATTTGGGAAATTTCAGGTCGCACCCTTTTGAAGTCCTGACATTGATAGCTGACTTTTGTAGGCTTGACTCTATGACCCGACCATATGTACACGCGGCAAACTCTAACTGCTCCATTTCTTATCCCCCCCCGTTTTTCCTTTATTATTATTTTTTTAATTTCAATCTTTACCAGTCCGGGTAAAAGCTGACTGCCTGTGCCTGTACATGGGTTAAATGGAAATCCAAATTAATTTAATATATTAAAGTTTTAGTATTAATAAAAAAAATTATTTTTAAATTTTTAAAATTAAATTAGGTATTTTATTATGTTAATTATTTAAGTTATTTTCCTGTGCCTGTACATGGGTTAAATGGAAATCCAAATTAATTTAATATATTAAAGTTTCAGTATTAATAAAAAAAAATTAATATTTTTAAAATCAAATTAGGTATTTTATTATGTTAATTATGTAAGTTATTTTTTAATTTATTAAATTAATTAAATCATGTCAGACCAATATCTTTATAATTTAATTTTAAGTTCAACTTAGATAAACAATTAATTATTTTTTAAAAAAAATTGATGTATTAAATCAAATTTAATAATATCAAATAACTGATTTTTTTAACATTTAAAGGTTTTTTATTAACGAGAGGGGTAAACTATTTTCTAACTAAATACCTAAAAGCATTTTAAATCTATCTTCTTCTTCTTTTTTGAAAATTTCTTTGTATGAGAAGCGTAACGGGGAAAATTGACTATGGATTGTTTGTTTGGTGCGCGCTCCATCCAAAGGCTTCTGAAATCTGTTATTGGTGTCCAAAAGTGAGTCAGTCTCCTTTTCTCCTTTTATTTCTGCACAGGTACTTGAGAAAAGAATTACCCTCTTTGCTATCATAACACGCTCGCGCGCGGCGCGCGTGGTGGAATACAACAATAATAATACGTATGCATGGATTAATTCCACACTATGCTCTTTGTTTCAATATGCTGTGGAATTTATTTATGTCAACAACATGTTCTTTTACTAACTTCTTTCAATTCTTCTTCTATTTTTTATGTCTTTGTATTAGTCATCCTTGTAGCCGTTACTTCGTAATTAGAGAAAATAACACTTTAAAAATAGTGATCTTGGTATTAAAAAGATAAATTCAATATAAATTATTCCAATATCATTTATACAAGATATGTGTTTTTTTTAATAAGTATGATATTTTATACTAGTTGGCATGCATTAAATTAAATTCCTTCATCAGCAAAGTACACATATTTTAATTTAAAAAGAGATGGCATATCCACGCGCTGCTATATCCTTATAAAACAAATATACTTAATAATATTATAATTATGAATCAATACTAAATAAATAATAAAAACTAAAGGTACGATAGAATCAATATTTCATGAGAGAAAAAAAATTGTATTGGTAATAAAAAATTTAGAGATTGAATAAAATGATTTGTAGTAATCCATAGTATTTTACGATGGAAGATACAATACTTTTGTCACATGATTTAACTTTTCTGTTAATAAAAATAAAAAAATATTACAAAACTAAATTCACTATCAACTTAATATTAAAAAAATCTATAGAGATAATTTTAGAAGGAAAAAAACTCATGAGGAAAAACGTTGTAGCAATTGACAATGTTTTATGAGGAAAACTTCAATATTTTTTTCTCAATACAATCAATACAGATAATTTTAGAAAGAATTATGACAAAAACCATTTAGAAAAATACTATAGTAATCTACAGTGTTTTGTGAGAAAAAGAACAACACTTTTCCCATATGATTTAGTTTTATTATAATTATAATTTTTAACCAACTCAATATTAAAAAAAAAATTGATAAAGATAATTTTGAAAAAAAATCATAAAAAAACATGTGGAAAAACATTGCAGCAATTCACAATATTTTAAAGAAAAAATTACAAAGCTAAATTTTCAATCGGCTCAATATTAAAAAAATAAAATTAACAAAGATAATTTTTTAAAAAACAAAATAAAAAACATAAAAAAAGAGACAAAAAAACTATGCTGGAAATACTGTAGCAATTCATGGTATTTTATAATGAAAGCTACAATGCTTCCTTACATGATTTATTAGCCTTATTTATAATGACTTATAATTATAATTCTCAACTAGCTTAATATTAAAAAAATAAAATTAACAAAAATAATTTTGAAAAAATCATAAAAAAAAATTACGTGAAGAGACATTATAGCAATCCATAATGCTTTGTAAAGAAAACTATAATACTTTCCTCAAATGATTAAGTTTTATTACAAAATTAAATTCTAACCAACTAAATATTAAAAAATAACATCGACAAAAATAATTTTAGAAAAAAATATTACAAAAAAATAAAAAAAAAACCATGTGAGAAAAAACTGTATCAGTCCATAGTGTTTTGTGAGGAAAGTTACAGTGTTTTTCTCCCCACATGTTTAGCCTTATACTTGTAATTCTTAATCAGTTTAATATTAAAAAAGTAAAATTAACAAGATAATTTTAGAAAGAAACTAAAAAAAACTATGTGAAAAAAAATATTGTAGAAATCCACAATAATTTACGAGAAAAGTTACAATGTTTCTCTCACATATTATAACTGTAATTTTTAATTAGCTCAATATTAAAAAATAAAATAAAAAAGGATAATTTTGGAGAAAACCATAAAAAAAAACTATATAGAGAAATACTGTAGCAATTAATAATGTTTTAAACAAAAAACACAAAACTAAATTCTCATTCAGCTTAATATTAAAAAAGTAAAATTAACAAATATAATTTTTAAAAATAAAAATAAAATAAAATAATCATGTGGGAAAACATCGTAGTAATTTACAGTATTTTTTTAAAAAATTACAAAGTAAAATTTTTAACCAGATCAATATTAAAAAAATAAAATTATCAAAAATAATTTTAAAAAATATATAAAAAATAAAAAAAATAAATATACTGTGAATTACTATTATTATAATTCACAGTGCAAATGTGAATGAATAATGTACTCCCATACCTTTAACGACTAGCTTATTGCTTAATATCAGTGAAAGCTAGAGATTTTAGGGGCTGAAAACCTGCCCCTAAAATCGAGAACATCAGGAATAACAACTTATTGCATAGCAGGAATTTCCATATTCTAAATTCCTTTTGTTTTAACTTTTGAATTGTATATTTCCAGATAGGGCCTAGAAGTGTATAATATCGTTATTTAATTTTCTAAGACTGGTTTCCATTTTTCAGGCAATTAACTCTGGTATTTCCCAGCTTAATTTGTGCTCGACAATGAAGTGCCAGACTATAAATAACATGACGTGTGGTATGAAAATTCTGCTCGCACCAGATGCCAAAAACAATATTGACAGAATAGAACTATGTGCATAAAGTAGCATGGAGCTGGAAGAATTAACCTACGCTCCTTAAAGGATACCTTTTCTGCTATTTTTAACAACAAATTTTTGAGCTTTCAATCTGCGAGTTCCAGTGGTTGATCATGGAACGTGTGTGAGCTCGAAACGAAAAACAGCCATGTTAAAACATGGGCTTGTAACAATTTTACGGCGAACAATTCATTGTTCTAGACTGTTAGAGCCATACTGTTTTTGCCTTTTTACCTGTACACTGGTTCCAAAATCAAATGAAAAGGAGATAACTCTCAAAAGCTTCAAGAGGTAAATCTAAATTTGAATAACAAAGGTCCCAGTGATATTTAGCTTTAGTTGTTGAAAGGAGTGATTAAAAACCAACTTCTATCCTCTGCTGGACTGGTAAACCGAACAATTCCATTCTTGAAAGTACAGAAAGAGGAACCAGATTCTTGAAAGAAATTATGATAGGAAGTCCGGTCAATTTCAACCAGGATTTGCGAGCTACTATAAATTCATCTGCTTAGCACAAATTCCAAACTGGTGGACGGAACGTAGTACTCTACCAGAGAATTGACGTCCAGAAGGGTGTGTTTCACTCTGATCTGTCTATACTGAATAATTTGGTGTGCTATGACAGGACAAGAAATCCCAGTAAGCGGACTATGGATCAATGATCTAGCATCAGAATCCGGCATTCTGGCATTTGATAGTGTGCAGCATTGACTAGTTCATTCAGCCTACGCTGGCCATGAATAGCGTTAGGGAGTTGTGTCATCAACTTCCACTTGTTATCACGACCTTTTTCCAGGGTCTACCAAGAACATCAGGAATAAAGAGTCATGAAATCAGATGCAAGCCTGCAGCTGTGTTAGTATAACTTTCTCTCATCGAAGGAAGTTTATTTGTTAGCATTAAAGTCCAGCTTTATGGGATGTATTTGCACAAAGCAGCAACTTAAATATGATGACCCAGCAGTTCTTGCAGCAGAGATTTGCTGTAAGTTTTGTTTATACTTGTTTTTAGATTGGAATTACTTCTCTGGATTCCGCTCCACTAGCCAGATTCTTGGTGATACGCATTGTTCGGTCATTTGTTTGCTCCGTGCTCATATTCTTGCAGTCAATGAAGCTGAAATTGAAGCCTTGCATGAGCTATTCAGGAAACTAAGCAGTGCTTTAAAAGATGATGGGCTTATTAGCAAAGTAAGTTCTTAATTTTATATGCATACAATTTCATACGCTGAAGGCATGCAATCTGTGAGAGAAACACAATCTAACCTAAAAAAGGTGGGCTTATTCTTGTAGAGCAGAATTACAATTTCAGTTTCAATGAAACAATCAAAGCTCATACTAAAAGGTTCTTACAGGATATTCTTTTAATTCCTGAACCTGGCTTCTTATTAATATCCAGGAAGAGTTTCAGTTGGGGTTATTCAGAAATAGCGAGAATCAAAGTCTCTTTTCCGACCGGGTAAGCTTGCTATTTCCTTACAAGCATTCCTTACTGGCCTATATATTTTTTTAATAGATAGCAGTATCTTACTTAATTATACGCTCTCCAGATTTTCCAATTGCTTGACTCCAAGCATGATGGAGTCATAGAATTCGCGGAGCTTGTACGATCCCTGAGTGTCTTTCACCCAGAAGCACCCCAATCAGACAAAGCTGCTTGTATGAAATCCCTCTCATATTATGTGTGCTATCATTCTTATTTGAAAGTTATGCTAAAAGTCTGATGTTCTGGTCTGGCAGTTGCATTTAAACTATATGATATATTGGAGACAGGTTTCATCGAACGCGATGAGGTAAAGATTAAAGACTGAATCTGAGATCATTGTTTTTCATTTCCTAACGAGTTTGCAGAATACTGACATGATAGTAAAACCGAAGTAAATTAGTACAGGCTGCTCATCATATTAATTTGATAAGATTAAATATACTTTTAACTGGAAGAACTTCTTTTGGCTAAAATATATTTACTTGAAGATCTTCATATCCAGGCAATGGTTTTCAAACAAAATATGTTGCATCATTCATGTTCTTATTCTGCATAGAACCAGGCTACTTCAAGTAGAAGCACTTCCTTTTGTATTTCTAAAATACATATTGATATGCTTTGGAATATTTAACTGGTGAAAGGTCAAGGTGCTGATATTGGCGCTTTTAGATGAATCAGAATTGATGCTTTCAGATGACATCGTTGAAGCCATTATTAACAAGGTAAGGCTTGCATAATATTAAAGAATTAAATTAATCTCTTCATCACGTTGTAAAGTCCACAAAATTATTGAAACCTTTTCCTTGAGTCTGCCTAGACATTTAAGGACGTGAATTCTAGAGGGGATGGAAAGATTGATCGAGAGGAAAGATTGATCGAGAGGAAAGATTGATCAAGAGGAGTGGCACGAATTCTCAACTCGAAATCCATCCTTGCTAAAGACCATGACAATTCCATATTTAAAGTAATTCCCTTTCACCCATTTTAATCTTAGTTTGCTCCTATCCATCAGATTCCGTGGAATTTGGATGTTCTTGTAAAAAAGAACGTAGCATATGGAAAATCCACTGCAGATCAAGAATGGTTTTTAACCAGTCCATACATGAGTATTAGGATTTTGATATTCTAGCTTTGTTTCGTTAAAAAAGAAGAAGCTTGTATAGTGATGTACTCCTATCTTTCAGCCTTATTTTCATAATATGTCCACATGAGTGATTTTGATACTGACTTCCTTTGCTGTAACCGACCACTTTACCTATCTGTGTTTCCTCTAGGTTGGCGACTGTTTTATCACCTTAAAGAGGAAACGGGGCCGTCATTTCCTCTTTATTTTGGCTGAAAGATCATCTCAAGATAATTTAGCTGTATTCCAAGCCTGTGTAGGATGTAGATCCTCACTTAATCTCTATCTAGTCTCAAACTGGGAATTTTTCATATTGTTTTGTATCTAACCAGCTTAAGCTAAAGCGACTTGTTTTTACAATTTCGGGATCCTGTTCAACTTTTAAATTCTGTGTGTAGTACTAAGCTCCAGTTCTTTAGCCATTCTCGAGCAAATAATTTGTTGATGGAACTTCACTGTTGCAGGGAGGTCACAACTGCATCCGAGATCAGACATCGAAGGCGATATTGACAAGTGATAATGGTCGGTGCTATTTCATCCAATGATGAAGAAAATCCAAGAATAAACTGCTATATATAAAGAATGGAAACTCTACTATACCTATCAAAAGGCAAAGTTTCTAAGTAATATCACACCTGTACTACCTACATTCCACAATCTCAGCTCCTCATGTACATGTATGTTACTACCTACATTCCACAATCGCAGATCCTCATGTACATGTATGTTACACATTATTCTTGTCTGTACTTCATCTACATGAATCTTACACATCGTTCTTGTCAGTTAATAGGTTCACAGGGCATAAGCACCACAGAAAATACCAGGACTAAACGCTCGATCAGTAGACCACAAAATTCAACAACTGTTAACTTCTGCCTCTGGTTATTTGGTTCTAGGAGCAACCATGTCCTCCAAGTTCATGGGGTAGCACATTTTTGTGTGCAAGCCATTCCATACATTGTCTGCCAAGATGGCATTCACTGCATCAGTTGGATGGTATTGGTCCCACCAGATATGGTTGGTTGCATTGCTGCAAGCAATTTCCGATGCAAAGCACAAGATCCAACCCTTATACTTTCCTAACCCACAGCAAGCGTCAGCAGTGACATTAAAACCTGAGTGAAAACATCATGCAAGACTAGTGAATTCTATTGACATTGCAGCAGCGTAAGGGAGGAAAATGTTACATGCCTTACCGTAAAGTTCGTGGTTCTTGATGATATCCATTGAACCTTCATACATACCACAGAAGGTGATTTTGGCATCAGGAAGTTTCAGGCCTAGCTCCTCGATCATATATCTCATTACAAAGTTGTACTC